AGTGTCTTTCTAATGCTAGACAGTTGGAGTGAAAAGAAGAGAAAAATTAATTTGTCATTTGGATATATCACTAAAGCTGAAATAGTTATAATTAAATTGCATCAGTGTTAGGTGGGACGCAACATGCCATGGTTTCAGGTTGTGCTAAACGTCACAGGACTCCATCTCCAGTTTCTTTTCAGTGATTGTCCATCATCCCCCTCTCTAGGAACCAATGTCCACGAGGCTCAGAACTTGCTTAATAACAGCGGACTCCCCATTACTTCAGCTGTTGACCTGGAAGATGCAGCCAGGAAGGCTGTGGCCAGCGTGGCAAAGAAGTGAGGTCCGTTGGAAGAGAAGTCCATATTTTCCAGGAAAAGAATGGTTGTCTTATCACTGTGAAAGAAATGGTTATCCTATTGGAGAAAAAAAAGGGTTGGGGAAAACAAGAAACACTGTATGAAAAATCTTAAATGTATCTTTTTCTTGTATAGGCTGTAGGGGCAGCCAAAATAATATGATTTCACTTTTAGTTTTTATTAAAATTATGTCCTGGATTCTCATAATTTTCTGATGATGAGCCTGCCCACTACGCAGAGTTTTCCTGACACTGGGGAGAAGTCTATATGACCAGTGTACATATATAAACATACATAGAGAGAGAATTTTAAATCAGGCCCTGGTTCATTTACAAGAGTTTTAGTGAACATTTAGTCCATATGATAAAAAGTCACAGACCATAAAAACCCAGAGTATTACATTTAGCTTACTGACTACCAAAAGCTAAGACATTCAAACAAATAGCTATTAAGCACTACATTTTTGACAGATTTCTAATTCTAACACACATTTGCAAAACTCATGATTATTCATATATATATGTATATGTATACACACACATATGTATATGTATGTATTTTAACATACATATATATATGTACTTTAACAATGGAAGGTCTACATTAATATCCCATACATGTATTTTACCATTTGCCTTAATATTGAATATACTGTTTACCTCACATTAAAAATGAAGCCAGATGCCTTATATGTGATTTTGGAGTAGGAAAATTGCATCTTTATATCACAACTTAAGAACTTTGAATCATAAGGAAACCTTTGTAATTGAGTCACTTTGAGATAAGACAGTACTGAAGATCAAGCTATGTTATGAGTGTCAGTGTCTTCTTGCCTTTCTACACCCGCCTCCAGTATCTACCTGCTTATGGTAGAAAGATAAAATATAATTAGAGAATTTGACTTTTTCCATAATGTCTGATTTTATGGTGAGGAAGAATTTAAATTAGGTTTCTGTTTCAATTTTTTTAAACAATTATTATCTGTATACAAATTTAAATAAAATCTTATGTTTTTTAAGTTCTAAGATCTGCATATTTGTCTCATTTTAGGTAATTTTATTCCTCAAACAATTTTTTCATTTACTAAGACTCTAACTTCACTGTAGGCTTATCCCTAAAATTACAAACTTTGAGTGGTCCTATGATCATTCCACTTCTGTGGAACTTAACCAGGAGCCTTTCCTATTGTAGGAGATTATTCATTGAAAGAATAAAAAACATATACACACCAGATGCCCAGGTAAGTATAGCACATGTCTAACAGGTTAAAATGTGACTTCAATCTGTTTAACACTAGAGGAAAGACATGCTGTAAACACCTCCAGTTTAAAAAGGATCAGATGCCACCATTAACATTTCCTCTCAATGTACAAATATATAGCAGAGCAGACTTTGGTTTTTTTACACACTTTCATTAGTCTCATAAATTTCACATATGGAAAAAGTTAAAAAGTCATTATTTATGGATTATTTGCCATGGGGAAAGAAACCATTTGATAGATTAGTCTAATGACCTTTCTAAACTGTTATGCAAAGAATAAACATTAACAGTGTCCTTTTAGGTCTGTGTTTTTGTTTTTTGATAGCCTAATAACTTTGCTTGCTGAAAGTGAAGATGACTTGATGCACTTACTGATGAAAATTAAAGACTATAGTCTGCAGTATGGATTACACCTCAACATAAAGAAAACATAAATCTTCACAACTGGACCAATAAGCAGTATCAAAATAAATGGAGAAAAGATTGAAATTGTCAAAGATTTCATATTAACTTGGTTCCGCAATAAACACCCATGGAAGCAGCACTCAAGATATCAGAGGACATATTACACTGGGCTACAAAAGGAATTGGGGCAAGACCAGCCTCACATGGACTTTTAGGGCAGAGAGTAAAAGAGGGAGGAGGTGGTTCCTCAAGGAAAATTGGAGCTCTAATGTCATTTTAAATGCTTACGAGCAAAGATGTCTCTTTGAACACTGAAGTGCGCCTAACCCAAGCCATGGCGTTTTCAGTCATCTCATATGCTTGTGAAAGTTGGACAATGAATAAGGAAGACCGAAGTGGAGTTGATGCTTTTGAGGTGTGGTGTTGGTGAAGAATACTGAAAGTACTGTGGACTGCCAGGAGAACTAACAAATCTGTCCTGGAAGAAGTGTAGCTGGAATGCTTCTTAGAACTGAGAATTGCCAGACATTGTCTTACCTACTTTGGTTATGTTGTCAGAAGGGACCATTCCCTGGAGAAGGATAGTATGTTTGGTAAAGTGGTGGAGGGTCAACAAGGAAAGGGAAGGCCCTCAATGAGATGGATTGACAAAGTGGCTGCAACGATGGGGTTAGGGTATAATAAGGATCATGGAGCTGACACAGGACTGGACAGTGTTTCATTCTGTTGTACATAGGGTTGCTACGAGTCGCAGCTAACTCAAAAGCACCTACCCAAAACAGCAACAATAACTAGTTAGCATGATGGACAGACAGACAAATAGATGGTAATATAGATAGATCTTAATATAAATATATCAATTAGACAGAAATAGGGTCGTTTGGATTTTATAAAACTTGTGTATATTGATGTTTCTGATTAACCTAGTTTGGAGGAGGAGCTAGAATAATTAAATGTTTATGTGATTGTTTTGTAAAATAGATAAAAGCAAGCAAATGACTATTTTCAAATAAGTCATTGTCAGGATTAAACTGTGTGTGTGTGTGCATGCGCACCATACTTTTTTCACTCACATAATATTTCTGGTGCTAAGAATTCATTTCATAAATATTTGTAGACTATATTACTAGAGTGTATACTGACCCAGCCATACTGCCTGATGACAAAGAGTTGAATCAGCAAAAGTTTGTGTCAGTAACTTCTCTGATTTCCTCAATCCAGCATGTCACATATTTCATTCCTTCCAGTCTTTGTCTCACCTGAGTGAAAAAAAAAAAAAAAAGAAACTAGTTACCATTAAGTTGAATCCAACTTAACAATAATCCTCACAAATGGACCCCATGTGTGTCTGAGTACAATTATAGTCCACTGGATTTTTTTAGTGGCTGATTTTTCAGAAATAGATCATGAAGCCTTTATTCTAAGGTGCCTCTGGGTAGACTTGAACCTGCAACACTTAGGTTTGCAGCCAAAGACATTAATAATTTGTACCACCCACTTGTCTCATATGTATAAAACCCATGGCTGTCAAATTGATTCTGATTCATAAAGCGCCCTGGTGGCACAGTGGTAAAATACTCCACTGCCAACTTAAAGGTCAGCAAATTGACCCCACTAGCTGCTCTGCCATAAAAAAAAAAAACGTTCTGTCTGCTCCCGTAAAGATTTATTGCTTTGGAAATCCTGTGGAGCAGTTTTACTCTTTCTTACTGAGTTGCTATAAGTATTATCTGTAGTGAATGTAAATATCAGAAATATGTACCTTTAAATCTTATCACTATTTTGTTTTAAACTTGGCACTCTCTATTCTAAGCAAGAAATCTATGACAATATAGGCTTATTGTCTACATATTTCCTAGAAGACTTTAAAATAAATGTGTAACTAGTCAAATAAAAAATATCCATATGAATGAAATATGTGACATGGTGGATTGAGGAAATCAGAAGTTACTGGCACAAGCATTTGCTGATTCATAAAATCACCCTGTGTATACTAATGTATGACACTTTGGGCAAAAGCAGTAAATTCCAGCTACGGCATTCTCCTCATTGGCCTGACTTGTCCATCATTGTGCTTGGTGCCACAAGGAAGGATCTGTAGGCTGAGGCAGGACAGTTCAGTGATGAAGACATAGGTGCTGGAATCTCAGTTCTTGGTTGAGATCTTACATCAGAGAAGTTATTTATGTGAGGCTTAATTTTCTCATATGTAAAAAGAAGGTATTAATAATAACCTACTTCGTAGGATGATAGTGAGATTTACAAGTTTATTTCTGATCTGTAAACCAAAAAACAAACCCACTGCCATCAAGTTTATTCCAACTCAGAGCAACCCTTCAGGACAAAGTAGAACTGTGTCATAGGGTTTCCAAGGTTGTAACTCTTTACAGAAGCAGATTGCCTTCTCTTTCTCCTATGGAGCAGCTGGTGGGTTTGAACTGCTTAAATTTGGTTAGAGCCAAATGCTTTACCCAGTGTGCCACCAGAGCTCCTTATTTATAATGTCTAGAACAGTATTCATATATGTCAGTCCGCAATAGATATTAGTCAACATGATGTTGTTGATGGATCAACAAGCATGGTTACCCTTGCCAAGGAGGTGACAGTCTGAACATGGTGCTTAATACTCAAGGAGCGTGCACAATAGTAACCACTATTACCTGAACTGCTTTGCATATAGGCTTTAACTGATTTGCTACTCTATTGGTAATATAGTCTCCTAGAACAAGCAACAGATTTAGAGATTACCCTGACCCTCCCACTTACCAATGTTACCTTTTCGAATGGATTAACCCATTGTATTTGTCCAGACTCTTGGTTGTGACAGAAGCCCATCTGAAACTCAAGAAAAAAGAGAAAACACTTTTTTGCTCTTGTAGTCATAAAGGTCAGAGGTTTCCGGTTTCTTTAGCTTCAGAGACGCAAGCCATCAGAACTTGGTTTCTTTGCATCTTAGCCCAGATTGTCTCTGTGGTGTTTTCAGTCTCAGGCTGGCCATTTCTACATGGTGGCAAAATGACTGCTAGGAATCCCAGTATACATTCTCAAGCTTAGCATTCTCAGAAGAGAAGAGAGAGGGAAAGAAGAAGAGGCTGGAAAGCATCATCTCTCTCTTGGTAATTCTAGTCTGGATAGGTCTGATAACTTATTTTGTGTCAGGAACTTAACCCTGAACAAGTCCTTCCGGCCAAAAGTTTACAGTGCTTTGATAAGTCTGCTGGGTTAAATATCCACTCCTGGAGTTGGGGCAAGACCAGCCTCACATGGACTTTTAGGGCAGAGAGTAAAAGAGGGAGGAGGTGGTTCCTCAAGGAAAATTGGAGCTCTAATGTCAAAAGGAAGAGGTCT